ACCGCCCCTCAATAAACAAGCAGCGTGGCCGAACCTATCCGAGCGTGTAGACCTTCGCAAAGCCCAGTTTTACCAACAGAAAAAAATCGCTGGCTGTGGCTATTTGTAGGCTCTAAATTCGTCTAAAATTTCCACCAGCCTCGCGAATAATGCTGATGTAAAAAATATCTTGCTGGCCGATATTGCGATTCCTTTTCGCGTGGTCATGGTGAAACTTGCGGGCGACTTAAAGGGACCCTCCCACCTTCGAAAAAGTTTATGAATTGGCATGAAAGTGATGTCGCTCGGTTCAGAAAGAGCGAAAACGAATATCTACCAAATTTCACCGAAAAATATTCACCGGTTTTCAAGATATTAGACTTTTACTTTTGTTTACTTTTTTGGGATCTCCGCTGTTTCTAGCGACTTTATTTTAGAAGTGCGGCGTTTGCGGCAGATGTTGCGCGCAAATAGCATATACCACCGCGTGCTACAAAACGTTTTAGTCAAATATTTAAAAATCGTTAGATATTTGCGCTGACGTCACACATTCAGAGGGGTATTCCTAAGCATTAGCCCCTCTGAATCAAAATGCTGCAATTTTGAAATTCAATATTTCTGATTTAAGGCATTTCTCGATGTTGTGAGTGCCGAAACCGGTAATTGTGAGCCAGGGACCCCATTTTGGCTATCTCAACTCAAATCTAATGTTAAGGTGGGAGGGTCCCTTTAAACGCCTCAAAATGACCACGGTCAGCGATTTTTTCCGTTGTTAAAACAAGCCTCAGATCAAGTTATTTGGAAAGCGTGCAAGGACCCATTTTCCTTGCGGTGCTTGTGCTACGTGCTTCCCGTTCAGGTCCCCGAGGTCTGTTATTGGCAGTTGGTTACCCACGTGAGGACCCATCCTCACCCGGTGAGCCACACCACGGTCACACGATCTCAGCGACAGGCCCGCTGGGTCGGGACTGGGTCGCTGGGTCTCCACTAGGTCACTTGTTTATCCGGCTTCGTGCGGCCTTTATGTCACTGGTTGTTTCCCGAGCTGTGAGCTGTAAAAGAACGCTCAATATTTTGTAGTGAGACCATGTCTTGCTAGTATGGTTTCGCCAGCCTGCGTGGCTGATGGGTTGAGCTTAAAGGGACCCTCCCACCTTAACATTAGATTTGAGTTGAGATAGCCAAAATGGGGTCCCTGGCTCACAATTACCGGTTTCGGCACTCACAACATCGAGAAATGCCTTAAATCGGAAATATTGAATTTCAAAATTGCAGCATTTTGATTCAGAGGGGCTAATGCATAAGAATACCCCTCTGAATGTGTGACGTCAGCGCAGATATCTAACGATTTTTAAATGTTTGACTAAAACGTTTTGTAGCACGTGGTGGTATATGCTGCTTTGCGCGCAACAAATGCCGCACTTTTAAATAAAGTCGCCAGGAACAGCGGAGATCCCAAAAAGTAAACAAAAGTAAAAGTCTAATATCTTGGAAACCGGTGAATATTTTTCGATGAAATTTGGTAGCTATTCGTTTTTGCTCTTTCTGAACCGAGCGACATCACTTTCATGCCAATTCATTAACTTTTTTGAAGGTGGGAGGGTCCCTTTAAATGCTCATAGCTCAGTGTTATGCCGAGCGGCTATTCCAGTGAAGTTAAAATGTGACATCCTCCGAAAAAAGGCAGATTTTATAGAGATTGCTCGGTATCGAATGTGTGACTATTGGATGTTTCAAAAACACACGCCGATCTAACCAGAGGTGTGTGTGTAACAAGTTGCAGCGGTATCGCGGCGGTGCTTTTCACTGGCGCAGTTAAACGCCCGACATTAATGAAGGAACGGTCCTTTAGATCAATATTTTCTCGTCCGCTCTTCTCAAGGTCGAGTGGAGCGGCTCCTTGAGACATCTCACGTGTATGCAATATTTCAATAGGTGAATTACATCGGGTCGGTGCGCGACAGACATAATCTCTGCAAAAGCGATTTATGCAACGTCAAAGCTGCGAATCCCTTATCTTTTGGGGGAGGGGTGCTTACATCTTATACCTTACCTTCAAGATTACTTTACTACTCCCTTACCTTATCGTGCAGTCCAATGTCATTTAGATGTGTTGTCGTTAAGCTATTTGCCCAGTAACATATTGTGTCTTCTGGGCACTTCACTAGAAAGCTTTATCTGTGATGCGTCGTTGCATTATAAAAATCGTTAAGATGCATAGAAATACCTTATTCCTCGGGCTCGGTGCTAAAAATTAACGATTTTAAGATGCAGTGGAAAAGACGTTATGATAACTTACGGATGATGTGTCTTCAGTGCTGTAACACAACTCCTGACACGTGACATCCAAACGAAAGACGTCGCTCCGTTACCTATAGCTAGCGGCTCGTGACCCGTATGGTGTCACCAGTCACGGGTGTCAGCCCCCCTCCCCCCCCCCCCCAACCCCCGAATCGTCGGTGTGCGTAGGAGGCGACGGTGCTGCCGTGCGGCGGCCAGCTGACCAATCATTCGCCGACGACCCAAGGCCCTATATACCAGGTAGGGTCGTCCGGCGATTCTACCTGATCGTGACATCAGCTTGTGACGTCATCTGGGGGCAAGTCTTGAAGCCCCGTTTGAGTCCCATGTAAATGGGCGATTTTTGAAGCGCTATAGAACAAACTCTGTTGGAGCTAGCACAAAACTAAGTGCCTCATCGGAAAGACGAGACATTTTTCTTTGAATTATCTAAGAGCGGTTTTTCACTACACCCATTAGTTTTTCCGAAAATGCGTAAAAAAGCCCTCATGCCTCCGCAGCCTCCCTTCCGCCGGCCGCTGCGCCGCCGCGGTAGTGTAGTGGTTAGGATGCTTGCACCGTGATCCAAAGGTCGTGCGCTCGAATCTAGGCGCGGGTCGGACTCAAACCGAAATTGCAAGCAGAATATGTGTTTTTTCTTTAAAAATCACTTACATTACAGCTAACCGTTCATAAAACTATCGATAACAATTGACTGAAGGCCAAAATATAGATTACATTCTTATAAAACAAATTCAAATATGGCGGCCGTTGCGCTAGGCTCCGCCCCTGACTCCACCCCTTCGTGTGACGTCATCTGTGCACTTGGACACACAGGGAGATAGGGGACGACATGGGCCTGCGACGACCCTCTGTCGGCGCCGTTCCGTTGAACCCGGCGGTTGGAAAACGCAATCGATGCTCTGTAAAATATGGGACGGCGCGCGTGTAGCGCCGGGTCAATGACGGCCGACGAAAAACGGCGCGGCCGCGGCGGAGACGACGCGTCGGCCGCGGCGCTGCGGCACGTGGCCGGATTGATCAGCGCACACAAAGGACGGACGAGTGTCGGGATGAGACACGTGTCGTGATGGCTGCTCACTACACACACACAGCGGGCGGCGGGCCGGTCGGTCGAGGGCTGATATGGGGAGCAATCAAACAGCACTGCCAAGTCTGGCTAGAAGCTACATCGCAACGTCGATGTCATTCCTTTACATCCTGTGTGATAATTTTGATGGCACAAAACCAGTCGTTCCCTTTCGCGTCTTGTTTTCACTGTGATTCACTGTACCAGTGGCGGCGGAACACCTTCAATTAAAGGTAGTGTGCCAGCTTTCTTGGACCATATGGAGTTAATGACCCGGATAAGGAGAACCGGATTTTTAGAACTTATCCATACCTTCAAAACTTATGGAATCGTCTTAAATTCTTCAAATTTTGAGTACCCCAGTGCGAAATTCGCCCCGACGGGTTGTCGGTCGTACCCCAACCACATTTCACACCACTATGAACAATAAATGCACACACTAAAATCGCTATTACCGATAGGCTCATCCAATCAAGTTTCGATAAACCCGTTCATCATCATCTCCTGCGGTTTCGAACACGCTTGTTAGGTGGCTTCTGATGCTCGTCGAGGTCGGAATTTCCAAATACACGTGGTGCGTCGGGCCGCGCGCTCTGACTTCGGCCAAGAAAAATGCGTCAGCTGATCATTGTCATTTCTGCCACTTGCGTGTGGTGAAATGGGGTCATAACTTAAGAGACGGCTTTTTCATATCAATTATTTTACATAAAATCATATTTCAAACCACAAATTAATGTTCGACAGCCAAATTTAAGAAACAATACCAATACAGGCTTACAGTTTAAGGCTCGACATTGTGTTGTCTACGATTAGACAGCTGATAACTCATTCCCGTACGTCGTATGGTCGTAACACTATAATGACCTTTGCTTATTGTCACAAGTGCGCCGCATTCGCGATTGTTGCCCGACGCCTGTTTGCAGGTGAGCCCACTACAGTTGTTATACATATCTAAAAACCGATAAACTTTTAGGCGAAAAAGGCACTATTCCAGGCCCATTTTTGATTTTTTTTTGCGATATTAGGTAAAAACAGAAGCTTCTTATCCTAGGAAAAATAAAACGGGAAATCTTTCAAAGGTGGCACACTACCTTTAAGGGACGGGGGGGGGGGGGCACTGCCGACTTTTGGTCCCATTCTTTCCATGCAACGCCCATGGGGCCAATGTTAAAATGCCAAAATCAAAGGAGGGGGCACGGTGCCCCGGTGCCCCCTCCCCCCATTCCGCCGCCTATGCACTGTACGTACTTAACTTGTTTAAGATGTCGCTCGGTAACGGCGTATTTGCAGCCAATTGAGTGGTACTAGTGAAGTTTAATGATGCCTTATTCTTGCGATGGTTTTCAAAACGCTATCAATAGCCTGCAAGGTGTTACACTTGGTTAACTCACTCCTATACGGCAGGTCCCACACGGCGAGCCGTTGAACAATCCGCCGGCGACAGTGCCGGGATGGGTGGTCGCCCCGCGATGTAATAGTGACCGACCCATAGTGTACCGGTGACCGTCCCGCGATGTACCGGTGACCGCCCCACAGCGCTCTGACACCACCCCGTCCGCCGGCGATAGTGCCGCGATGGGTGACCGTCCCGCGATGTGCCGGTGACACCGCCCCACAGCGCTCTGACAGCACCCCGTCCGCCGTGTTTCAGTGACGATGACGTCTCAGCCGACCAACGAGTCGGAGCTGCAGCTGTACCGGGTGCTGCAGCACGCCAACCTGCTCAGCTACTATGACGTGTTTATCAGCCAAGGTAAGCGCCGCGGTACGTACCACACCATTTCCTATATACTATTTGTCTCTGTCGCTGCGCCGTACCCTCCCGTCGCCTGTTAAAACAGCGATCACTGCACCTGGAACACGTCCACAGCCGCTTCTGCACACCACCTGCACGACCTTACCTGATCCTGCCAAATGGTACCTGTCAAAAAGCATTTCCTGTCTGGATTTAACCCTCGCCGGACCTATTGGTTTTCTACATACGCGCCGGCCGAGGGGGGGGGGCGGGTACGACCCCCCCTCGCCGTTTCGCCCCTGGTGGAGCTAGCGCGTCGCGGAAAAAACGAGCGTGTGCGCCGTTACGAGACGCAGAGATTGGTACCCGATTTTAAGGTCCTAGGTCAACCGGTGACCTCTGAGGTCAGGTCAAGTGCCCCAGGGTACGGTTCAGTTTTTGGTGAATAACTTCGCAAAAAACGGCCGCAGAGCGCCCATTTTGGCCGCATCGTGTTCGCCTCGCTCAGGCGCGTCGAATGATATACTTTTTGTCCGGGTCAGGTCAACTTGGGGTGTTGACCTCAGGTCAAGGTCAGGTCAGCACCCCCAGGTCACGAAGTTGGTCGAAAGAGGTCATGTCGCATATCATTCGATTCGGCAGGCCTTCCTGAGTCCATTGGTGCCTTTCCCGACTCGCTAGCTCAATTTGATCAAGAGTTATTGACGAAAAACTAATTTGACCTTGATGACGTCATAAATGACGTCACGCAAGGTCAACATTGCAAAAGTGACGCATCTAACCTTGCAAGGAGTGCATCAAATCACGATTCTGTGTGCTTGAGATAGTTGGAGATCGTTCCCGGCGCCAGAATAGCAGTTTGAATTTTTCCCCATTGACTTATAATGGTGAGGTCACGAAAATGACCTGACCTCATATGACCTTTAGGAAAAATCCGAGATATACAAGTTGTGGGACTCATAATGGATACTAGATCCTGCAAGTTTCATTTCCCTGTGACATCTCCTCTGGCAGTGAGGGCGTTGCGAAGTTGCGACATCTGAAGACCGTGCAGAGGTTCACTTATGACGTCATAGGTCAGTGACCTGACCTGACCCAAAAATGCGGTTGGTGTCAAAAGATCCGGCTTGGATCAAAGGTCAGGTATGCCAAGTTTCAGCTCTCTATCGCCAGCGTGTTCGGAGCTATCGCGAAAAAACCCTATGGGGGGGGGGCGGCACCCGCCCCCCCCCCTCGGCCGGCGAGGGTTAAGGCAGCCAGATCGTCGGCTAACGGTTGAATTAGCGGGAATCGTACAAAATTTTTCCTTAAAAACTGCTGGCAATATTTTCCATAAGCATCAATAACATAATAAATCGTTTAAATAAACTGTTTAGCGTCGAAACGCAATTTGAGCTTCAACGTAAAAATCTACATTTAACAATAATGTCTTCGACTCGTATGTTGCCGTTGCCGTATTCAAACATTTCTTATTCGCACGTTTTATCTAACCGTATTCATTCTTCTACTCGTCGCTACCGCTCGTCATTGTGGGCATGTGAGACTTAATTGGCACAATATTTCGCTTCTAATAAATTTATCTACAGCATCTGATGGGTTGAGAGACATCGAAAGGACAATAAGCAATGTTATCTGTTAGACCGCAGTCCGCAAGGCATTTTGCTGACCATTGTCTGTATTTTTGTGTCGCTTGCTCATTGCTGCATGTTATAATAAATCAAAATACCTTCTCAGCCAAGCACTCAATAATGTACATTCTTAGATCTTCTACAGAAGGCAATCATTTTCAAGTTTGCATGATATGATATCTATCTGAATCTGGTTCACCTCTGCCAGAATCTGACTTGAGTCGTTATAGTAACGTTACTAACGTCTCTGCGCTAGTGGCATAGGGGACACTGGCTGTTGTGATGCGTACTGTTGTCTGTTGTCACCCTCGCTGTATGACGATGGGCTGTGATGGCAGGTGACTCCTGTGACGGTGACGTCATTCTCTCTGTGTGTGACGTCAGGCGGTGATGACGTGCAGCAGCTCTGTGAGGCCGGCGAGGAGGAGTTTCTCGAGATCATGGCGCTGGTCGGCATGGCGTCCAAGCCGCTGCACGTGCGCCGCCTGCAGAAGGCGCTCCAGGAGTGGGTCAGCTCGCCAGGTCAGTGGCGCCCCGTGGGACCGGGGACGGTGCCCCCGGCCAAACCGACCCGCCCCGGTACCTACTGCAGTCCCCGGCCGGGCCGGCCGCCGCCGACGGAGCGGCACTGCGGCACAGTCTACATTCAGGCGTTTAACTACTACTGCCATCTAGCGGTGAAAATATCGGCCGTGATCTGCGTACCGTAACGTGAATAGTCGAGCCTCACCCAGTGTATGGATACTGTGAATTAGGATATCACTGTCTTTTCTCTCCCGTGTTTTTAATCCCGGCACACTGCGGTTACCAATGCTTATGCCGACTCAACTCAAAGTCACAGTCACAGACGTTGACGGCATGCCAATGCTGAGACCGTACCTACTGATTTGACATCGAATCTGAATCCTCTTTCGATAAGGTTATGCACCTGGTTCTGTTTTTACGCTATAGGTGATAGGTATGTAGGAAAGCAGTACTATCAAAAAAGCATTTCTGGCTTTTTTTTTCATTTACGTTGAATGCCGAATGTGTACCAGGCATAGATAGTCAGGTAGGTATGTTCACTGCATTTCAGCTAACGTATAAAAAACTACTGCACCGTTTTGAGTCTTCGCTGACACACTGACACAAATCGCGCTGGTCACAAAAACAGGGCTTTCAGTGCACTGAAGACACAATAGCCAATATAATAATGGACTGCAAAAACGCGAGTCGCCAGGTCAACTGAAATGCGCTCAGAAGACGCTGTAACGTCGCGGAGGCAGACATACGAGTGCATTAGAGCCATAGAGCCGACATACCGTCCTATACATTTCATGGAGAAGATGTCGTTCTACTCGTTCTATTTGCCCCCGTTTAACTTCTTACATTAGTCACTTACTTACTGCCTACTGCAAGCTTTGTTCGTGTTAAATTAACCATAGCAATGCTCCCAACTAGTAACTGGAGGCAAATGCTTGGAGGCCTTCCTCCATCCTATCGTTGATGGCGTTCGCTAATAGGCATCAGCAGGCAGTCAGCACGTTATGAAACGTCATGTGCCTAAAAAAAGGAAATATCTGACAGAGAAAGCCGCGGTCCTGACTGGTACGACAAATAGTCACGGTCAGCAGGACAGCTACGTCCACTGTTAACTGAAAACCAGTGAGCGCAGCTGGTGATCCATTCGGCTGGAACGCCGCGGCTGACGGGGTACCGGTGAGGCTGACTGAACGAGGGCGGCCGCCGGGCCGAGGGTATGTCGAGCGGTGGACGTCAGTCGCTGAGCAGTGGACGTCAGTCGCCGGACGGTGAACGTCGGTCGCTGAGCAGTGGACGTCAGTCGCTGGACGGTGAACGTCGGTCGCTGAGCAGTGGACGTCAGTCGCTGAGCAGTGAACGTCAGTCGCCGGACGGTGAACGTCGATCGCTGAGCAGTGGACGTCAGTCGCTGAACAGTGGACGTCGGTCGCCGGGCAGTGGACGTCAGTCGCCGGACGGTGAACGTCGGTCGCTGAGCGGTGAACGTCAGTCGCCGGACGGTGAATGTCAGTCGCTGAGCGGTGGACGTCAGTCGCTGAGCAGTAGACGTCAGTCGCCGGACGGTGAACGTCAGTCGCTGAGCAGTGGACGTCAGTCGCCGGACGGTGAACGTCGGTCGCTGAGCAGTGGACGCCAGTCGTCGGGCGGTCGGCTGTGCCGCTGTCCAGACCAGCGGCCATCAGTCCGTTTTTGTCACCTGCGCGCCGCAAGGAGTCGAAGCATTCTGTTTTTGCGGTCCGTTCAGCGTCATATTACCTTGATAAGCGATGTCGCAAGAAAGCAACGGAAGCTTGCGAATTGCAGCGAGCGCTGGACAAAGACCGAGTCGATAAAAACGTCGCAGAGTCTTCTAAATGAAGACAATTGCTCTCTGATCGCAATGTGCACAGCGCAGTGTTTACGGCGAGAGGGACTGCAACATTTTCTAACGGTCAGAGCAAAATGTAACTGTGGCAAAGCCTATATATGTGCGATTTTTTTTTGGGGGGGGGGGATAAATGTCATATTTTTTAATACAAAATTTGATACAGCGACATAGGTGGAGTGAGATGGTTTGTTGCACGTGCACGGAGGGGAGGAGAGGAGCAGATGCAGAGTGCCAGGACGGATGGGTGATCGATTCTGTATGAAACTGGTCGAGGTGGTCGTATTTCGATCAGTTGGTGCGTAATACTTACACTACATAAGTCTACTTACACTATACTTATGCTTATACTTACCTAAATAAACAAGATCGCATACCCTCGAGTAACCCTCGCTTAGGCAACCCTTTTAGACCACATTCGGCCGATGCTCCCACACTGCTCGTCATCTGTAGCCCCTGTACCGACGTGCCGCTGCTCCGTTGCAGGCAAGTTCCACGTGCCGCTGCTGCCGGTGCCGACCGCCGGGTTCCTGCCGGCCGGCCGCGCCCTGGTGGGCCAGCTGGGCGGCCTGCCGCCGGCGCCGGCCGTGTCGGCCGCGCCGCTGCCCGTCACCGTGACGGCGGCGCCCGTCACGGCCAGTCCCGTGCAGCCGCCGGTGCGGGCGCCGTCGGCGCCGGCGGCCCCGGCCGCGCGCAGCACGCCGCCGGCAGCGGCCAGCCCCACACCGAGCCTGGGCCGCGACCGGGACAGTCTGCCGTCACCGTCACACTCCCAGGTGAGTCCACACACTGACAGGTGAACCGGCGTATTCACTACCGTGTAAGCCGCCGCAGAGTGTACCAGGAAGTTTGGATTCTCATGCAGAAGCTGAAGCAGTTAATGTCGATATAGGCGCTGGCGCTGTACCGGTTCGGGACTCGTTCGTCAGCGCCCTGACCTGCCCTCCTGCGCCCGCAGAGCAGCCGCGAGCCGTGGCCGAGCCGGTCCGGGCCCGGTGAGGAGAGCTCCGGCGGCGGCGGCGGCGAGCAGTACCCCACGTCGAGCTCGCCGCTGCAGCTGACACCGACGCTGCGCGCCTCGCAGATCCGCCGGCTGGCCGACACCGCGCTGGCCATCGCCAAAACGCTGCCCGACTTCGAGCCGCGCCAGCAGCACAGCAGCAAACGCAAGGCCTGCAAGGAGCTGGAGGCGAGTAGCCGGCCGCCGCTGCCGGCTCCGTCCCGGCGCGGCGCTTTGTCTCACGCATCCTGCTATCCTGTCATTCTAGTCGGTCGGACGACCGCTTTTTACGCCCTGTTTGCGCCGGTTTTTATCCATTTGCATGTGTAACCTCGGTTTTTACCGGCATCTGACCAGTCTGGTTTTGCTGGCCGATAATAACATTTTTAGCTGCAATGATTAGTGGGTGGTGCTCGACAGACGCGGAAGGGTTACATTCAAGGACAAAGCCGTAACGAAGTACGGCCTGCTACCTCCCGGTGCCATCGTTAGGGTGACCTGTATTCGGAAGCGGGGCCGTGGCTCACATTAGCCGCTGACCAGAGCCTGTTCTCGTGCCGCAGGGAGCGGCCATTCTCGTGTTTGCGGTCTGTCTCGCTCGTCACCGTGCTAATCCTTCATCGCCACTCCGTCCAGACATTGTTTGCATTCCCGTTTTATGTGACGTCATCGGCGTCCATCAGACGCTGTCTAACACCACTTTTACGACCGTTTGTGACACTAAACGGCTACGGTCTCCAGGAATCCACTCCGTGCCGGTAGACGGGTGACACGGGCGGGATGGTCGGACACGCGCGGGCCGTGACTCGGACGGAGAGGGGCCGTGACTCGGGCGGAGAGGGGCCGTGACTCGGGCGGCGGGGGGCCGTGACGCTTGTCTGACAGTAACGGGCAGACGTCTCGCCTGCAGTACGTGGTCGGAATGGACCCGGACGACCCGAAGCGGATGGACAAGATCCGCGAGTACGCCGCCATCTACGGCAGGTTCGACTGCAAACGGAAGGCCGAGAAACCCCTCACCCTGCACGAGGTACGCGGAACCAGGGTATATAGAACGTCCGCGGAACTGCTGTAGAAGAACCCGACTTTTACCGAAGTGCTGCTCCGAGTCTCTGTGGCCTATTGGATATGCGACTGTGATAGGTGATAAATGTCGCTCGCCTGTCTGCCACTGACCGCCCTGTCTGTCTGTCTGTGTGTGTGGTAGGTGTCTGTGAACGAGGCGGCGGCGCAGATTTGTCTGCACGTCCCGGCGCTGCTCACCCGGCGTGACGAGCTGTTCCCGCTGGCCAGACAGGTGGTGCGCAACTCGGGCTACCAGTACTCCAAGGGCCACTCCAGGTCAGTAGATGTGCCACTCCACGTCAGGAGTTATTCCTCGGGTCACTCCAGGTCAGTCAGAGGGCCACTCGGGGTCAGTTAGTCAGGCCAGGTTAGTGGCTGCCTACTGCTTACTTCGAGGACAGGCACCAATGCTTTTTATTATTTTTTTTTTTCAGGACGAGATAAGGCAAGCATTTAATAGCTAGGCTGGGGCTAATAAGGGTCAGAGCCTCTGTATTTTTTTTCTTCGATGAAAGGCCAGCATCATCCACCCATTGCTGCAGGCGAGGCATCGTACTAACGCAGTGAAGTGTAGATTGTTGTGACTTTGACGTCTCCATCACCTCGGCAACAACGCTTTGAGTCTGTTCTTAACTGCCGCCAGCCAATATAGCCGCTGAAGACGTAATTAAATATCACCGACTTTTCAGCATTACCTTCATCTTGTTTTTATTCTCCAGAGGAACAGAAAAACATCTTTAGGGGACAAAAACTCGTAAATGTAGATCAGTTAGCGTGATCGCGTTTCGCGGATCGATCGCCGTTATAAATAATTAAATCAGCACAGCGCTGCAGTTTTTGTCAAACACCAGAGCGCGCTTCTCTTTGTAGCGTCCTTGCTATAGTGCTATAGTGCTATAATGCTCGCCTTCCCTAGGAGTGCCGGTGTGCCGACATTGCCTCTACGGCTGACGCTGGGACTATATATGTGCTGTGTAGGTCTGTGACTGTCTGACTGTGCCGTGCAGGTCCCAGGGCGCCCAGTGCTACTCTCCGCGCGACCTGCGGCTCATGGACGAGGGCAGCGGAGGAAAGAGGATGCGACTCGACTCTGACTCGCCGCCGGACCCGAACGGCGATCCCTCCTGGAGGGGGCGGCAGGTACGGCGGGAGGGAGGGAGAGCGGCAGGTGGGACTGGAGGGGCGGCAGGCGGGACTGGAGGGGGCGGCAGGTGGGACTGGAGGGGCGGCAGGTGGGACTAGAGGGGCGGCATGTGGGACTGGAGGGGCGGCAGGTGGGACTGGAGGGGCGGCAGGTGGGAGAGCGGCAGGTGGGACTGGAGGAGGCGGTATGTAGGACTGCCGACTGGAGGGAGCGACAGTGGGACTGGAGGGGCGGCAGGAATCCCTCCTTCTGGAGGAGATCGGGTTGAACTGATAGCTTACTCCTGCTGATAAAGGTAGGTGAGTCATTCAAAGTTGCTCTGCTTGAAGAGACTCAAGACGATGGGAAGGTAAATGATAATAATAACATGCTTATGTATGGAAAATGATAGTCCTCAGGGAATCAGGTGGCTAATTCAGCAACTTGAGATATACTTATACCTTTGTGGTATGACTTTTAGAAAGAGATGGCAGCCTCTGATGCCTTATCCATTGATATAAAGGCGAGAATGCAACGCTGATATAGGTAGGATCTTGGATCTTGGAGCGTGGATCTTGAAGCTGACTGCTGGCACAGAGTTCACAAAACCTTCCCGTCCGCACAGGACCGTCTGGAGCAGATAGCTGACGAGCTGCGCCAGCTCCAGGAGCGGGGAGACCAGTTGCGGCAGCTGCAAGAGCGCGGCGACGAGGGCGCGCCTGCCGACGGAGAGCGGCCGGCCGGCGAGGGCGAGGGCGAGGGCGAGGGTGGCTCGCTGCAGCAGCAGATCGCGGGCCTGGAGCGGCAGCAGCAGCAGCTGCGCTCCGAGCAGACCGAGCTCGTGCAGGAGAGCAAACAGTGAGTACCGGGCGGCTGAGCGCTGCCGTCTCAGCCGGTGGAGCGGGCACATCACCTGTTGGCACACCCACGGACTTAGCTCGGCCAGAAGGGTTCACTCGACTCGCGGTTTACCGCATTACTTCTGACAACTTTGCCTGGCCTAAAATGTGCTTTTGAACAACATCTCCGTGTAAAACAAAAATCAGTGTTTTTAATCCTCTCCTGCGTCAAAGGTATCGATTTCATGCTTGCTTTCCCAACATCGGCGAACCTGGCGCCGGAGGTGATGGCAAAAAATGTGGGTATTGAAGGACTTGTGTTGCAGCCCAAAGCGAGATACTGAGCAACCACGACGAGCTAGTTTCATTGAACCCCGTCACTGAAGAAGCGGGTAACTGGGGCAAAAGCAGGCAGCGGCCGGCCGCGGCACAGTTTCTGTTTTGTCGGCACGCTCCGGCAGTCTCATTCACGACTCGTGTTATTGGTTGTAGCCGATGCGGCTGACAAGCTAGGTCGGTCAGTTCAGCAGGAAACGGAGCCCGACAAAACAGCGCTCCGCTTTTCACAGTCGGGGTTCCACAGCTGGGAACTTAAAGGGACAAACACAGTTCCTTCTATAACACAAATACCAACACTTGAGCATCAACTCATTACAATGCACACGATGATGCATTAGCCGTCTGGCACGAGTGTTGACAATGGTCGGTTTCTTTTGCGTCCTGCCACTGTAGGTGCCGCCACAAATGGCCAGGGAAGTCCCGGCCGTTTTTCCGGCCGCGGCGGCGGCGGCGCTCCCGTTTCGTTTCGTTCTCTGCAACGGGTCGATATTTGGGCCGTTACCCGGCGGCGGCGGCGGCGGCGGCGGCGGAGGGAGGAGGGCGGCTGCAGCGCCGCCGGCCGCGATCAATAGGCCCGCTCTGCCCGGCCCGTGCGGCGCCTGCAGTGCGCCGGGGCCGGGCACCGACCGGGCCGAGCGAGCCCCACCGGCCGGGCGCCGGCAGCCGACCCCGGCCCTGCTCCGAACTGGCGCCTTCCTGATCAGCTGCAGCGAAAACCACAGCGGCGCACTAATTCGGTCGAATCTATCGGTTACCCGGCACCCTCTATCATTGTCGGTTGATTGTACTAGCTATTGTTGGTTTGCAATTAGGCATTTGTTTTCGAGGTAGCGTGGGACTCCGGTTTGGCGGAGACCATCAAAGGGAGTGCCAGGCAACTAGCGAAAGGAAGCCTGCCCAATCTGAGATTGCCATCACATCTAAAAGAGCTCCTAGCTTAGTCACCAAGCCACCTTTACCACATCCATATCCTCTCAGCTTCGCCAAATCTGATGTTACAGTCGCCGTTCCCAGGGTAGCGTTTGGGTGCGGCGCTTATTGGCCAGCCAGTTCCACGAAATGCCGACAAAAATACAATGCAAACCCTTGCACATTTTTGTCTGCAGCTCGTTATTTTCACAACTGGCTGCAGAAAAGCGGCTGACCGAAAGTCCGGGAAAAGTGCGGCCTACCAGAGGCCGGCGCCGGGGAGCGAGGACCGACCGAGCCGCAACAATGGCAGTCGGTCGTCCCGGCAACAGGACGACGAAAAAACGACAAAAATAACGCCAGTCTGAAACACAGTGAACTTCGATGGTGCAGCCGCAGGAAAGAATCGGTCGTTGGCTATGCGAAAATAAGGGTGCATAGGGATTCCCGGGTTGAACTTTGGCGATACAGTTTAAACATCTGTGCAAAGACAGGAAAACAAGTAAAACTTATATTTTTACTGTTTACAGGAAAACCTTGACCAGTCTTGAAATAGTTTCCTCTCGACTAACTACCTTCACGGCTTCTTTGTTCAATATCGGCACCCACCAGTAAAACAGACTTTTCACTCTGGTCCCTGTATATGATCGAACATTCGCTTTTTTCCGCTTCGTGCATTCTATCCTCTTGATGTCCATACACTTCCCTGTGTGCTCACTGCTCACGCCTCTCGTCTGTTCTCGCATCTCTCATTCTGTACTATTACGAGGCACACCTCTCGCTACATGTGCCCACCGCCGCTCTCTGTGAGTTGACCACCACCGGCCGGCCGTTTTTCCAATGGTCCGTTTTTGCCAGCGGTCGTGCAGAGCAGTGAGCGGTGAACAGAGAGCCGAAGGTGCACCAAAAACGCCACCGACCGCCGGCTGTCTCTGCGGCCGGCCGCCACGACAGCCGGCGTCCGAGTTCTTTGGACGGCCGTGTGGCTTCCCGCCTCTTAGTTTGAATTCTTCTTTGTGGACGAAGCGAACACAGGCGGACTTATGTTGCTTCCCTCTGTTTCAGGTCCTTCAAGAACTGTCTTGAAATCTATGACGACGATTCCCAGTACTCGTTGAGCAGTGCAGCCTCACCGCAGGTAAGACGAAATGTGTAATAGGTACAACACAATGGTTAAAACTGTAGCAGGAATGCTTCTTTGTTGGTTTCTTTGGTTTTCTGGAATTGCAGTCACATCATTACATTTCACACAAAAAAAATCAACACTTCTGGGAAAACGTTAATATTCGATAATACCTATATATTTAATTATTTAGACACAACGGAAGACCCTGAATTTAGATAGGAAGGGCCTTCGTTCATGTGTGCCAGTCAGTTCAGTGACATCATCAGTGCTATATTACGCCCCGTCAGTGCGTGTGACGCCAGTTCCCGGTGATCGGCAGGGCCCGGCCGGCGACAGCTCCAGGGAGGGCGACCCGATCCGAGCCGAGGGCACCCGGGAGGCAGACGCGGCGCGGCTCGACACCTCTGACCGGCGGCTCACCAAAAAGGTACGCCCATACCAGACCTGGCGGCCGGGCCCGAATCATTTCTGAGCATCCCCCGACTGTCAAACAGTTGTGTAGAAGGTTCGCTTACCAGCTCTTGGCGTCCATGAACTGATATCTTGTATGCTGACAAGACTTCCTTTCCCACCTGGACTGTTATCTTGTTCATACTTGTTTGGGAGGGAAGCTGCTTCACAATTAGCATGTAGGTAATTAGTTTGGATGAAGGATGGAGCAAGTCGAAATTCGGAAACAATTCGTTTCAATAAAAAAACGTTACATCAGTAGAGCGCGTCATATCTCGCACCTCTGCCGTATTGCCACCTCCTGCCGCTGTCTCCGGAGCGGGCGACCGCCGGCTGACGCCCCGCTGACGTTGCCGGTCCGTTCCCGTCCGTCTGTCTGTCACCTGTAGCTGGTGCAGGAGACGCTAGTGGACGAGGGGTTGCGGGTAGTGAGGGGCCTGGTGAGCCACGGCCCGCCCACCTCCGGCGGCGCGCACACCTTCTTCCCGGAGCACAAGGTACGGCCCCGCCCCGCGGCTGGCTGTCGCCCGCTCATGCACGCGCGCTAGTGCATGGTACACAGCGCCCATCGATGTCGCCACTCAGCGCATCCCCCTAGAGTTCAAATCACATCGTACCGCATCGTCCTCGCGTGGAAGCAACACATACTGATAGTGCAATTAGCAAATAGTGTGCTTTTAATTAGAGTCGCAGGGTGGTTGGTCACAGGAAGCCGCACTTCTTTGCAGTAATCAGAGCCCTCTACAACAAGGTTCCATCCGCCGTCTACGTATCAAATGGAGGAGAAAAGGAAACATCATAAAGAAAGACAAGGAAAACCCATGCCTTAAAAATTGTTGAGATAATCTAGCTACAAAGCCGACCTCAAATCGATTCACCTCAACACCTACTGTAAATATGCCGAAAACCGGACCACTGCACTGAGATGAATAAATGATGTGCTTCGAACAAACGACCAGGTAGCTGCTGACTACATACAGCTGAATGATATTAGCCCTATGTAGTCTGTATGGTTCTATGTGTTCAGTGCACTCCACATATCACCCGCAGCTGAGGAGCGAGGATGCATGAAATCTGTGTCTGTGAAGTTACCGAACGATTGTTGGTTGCCACTCGGCACAGTCGCGTTATATGTAGATTGATGTGCACCGTTTAGTTCTACGTTACATCTATGCTATGTGTGTAGCTTTCTGGATGTTGTTCTATGTTCATAAGTGCTGTCATGCGATGTTACATGTATATAATTTGGTGTGAGTGAGTGAGTGAGTGAGTGAGTGAGATGATCACCGCCTATGGTGCCTACGACCTCCGCCTATGGTACCAATGAGCGCCGGCTGTCGTGTCTGACTGGTGTCCGTCGGCCGGCAGGTGATCGCTTCGGCCGCCGGCACCATCATCGCCGTGGCCAACCCGGCGCTCTCTATGTCGCAGCTGTCGCAGCCGGGCCCGCTGGCGGCCAGAGTGAAGACGGAGCCCGGCCCGCGGGTCAAGGTCGAGCCGGCCGGGTCACCGCCAGCGGCCAACGGTCGGCGGCCGGCCGACTGAGCGCCGCCGCACCGCGCCGCCCGCCCATTGTGATATAGTGCTGGAGGGCTCCGAGAGGCGGCGGCCACTGCCGGGCCGCTGCACGGCCGCCGAGGAGGCGACCGGCCGCTCCCTTTCAATCTCTTTGTATACCGTTTTGCACAGCTTCATATTACCCCACAGGGGCATATTTTCGATGTATGTGTATGTACCTACTCCGGCCGGGTGCGGCGTCTGGCCCTAAACGCAACTCGCCACCTGAACTTGGTCCAACTGACACACGTTGTAAACGTGACGGTCCCGGAGAACGTCTCCGCGACCGCGGGGAGAGCTTAGACGGCCGCCTATCCAATAGACCGCAGCGTGCGTGGCACCGGGCGGGGCCGCTGATCTGGGCTCATTGGACGGACTGGGGTTACCCCCGGCTCCAGTCGCGGCGCGTCTGTTTCGTCAGACATTTTGGCGCCTCCTCGTACTTTATAAAATGTCACGTAGCCCAAGGCCAATACGCCAAACCTACCGTGGCTTCCAAAGTTACGCTAAAATAGCACAGCAACACATCTGAACGCTCCTCCTGCTGTCGTGACTCCGCCCTAAAGTTATGAAAACCAAAACAGATAGTTTTGCCACAATAGATGAAACATAGTTTCACCATAGGATAAAGGTTATCCTTCGTGAGCATTTCACGCGTCAAGTAGCCCCCGAGTTTGGACCTCACGGGCCGATTATTGGGGCGCGGTCTCTAAGACAAAGTAGCACTAGCAGTTCGCTGACCTCCAAGGCACCAGCTTACAGAACCCTCGCTCCGCCGTATGCACTCAGTGCAATCAAAACCGCTGGGCCCGAGGCCAACCCTTTGCCTTCTGGCAGGATGGCAGGATGGCCCTTCTGCCAGGGCCATTCCGCCCCAAAGACAGAATAGGCATGCAGGTCTACTGGAGTTTAACTCCCCCATAATTTACAACATGATGCGCACCGAATATCAACTTTACTCCCATGGTTACTATATGAAGCAGAACTTCACAATGGTGATGACAACCTCGAACTAGCCCATGTTTAATTACTGAGTGTTTGTGTCTCACTTACTCTGAAGACATGCCGAAAATCTCAGTTGCAAAAGTTGTCATTCAGATAGAAGGCTATCAGAGCACAGGACTGTTATCGAGTCGAACAGTCGACTCCAGTGCTAAACTCCAAGAACCAACAGGCCCAACAGCCTACAATGCGAAGCTCTAAGCTTCATTGGGGTTACCACAGGGTCACTAGAATACAGGACCACTCTATTACAGCTTACAGAACCAGTGAACATTGAACGTAAATTGGATATCGGTTCTGCACTCTGAGCGGACGAATTTGTCTGTCTGGTCTGTGTTGGAATCATGCGACTGCCTGGACCTCCGGTTGATCTGCCGTGTGCTGGATGGATCTGGAGTTGTGGGTTGCGTCGTTATATCAGTGTCTAAATCAAAACGTGTCGGCGCGCGTCGCTCGGTCGATAGATGTAGTGTCGCCCGGCCCGCCGGCTCTCGTGTCTCGCTGTGTCTGTGTTCACTGTGCATCGTGTCGGGGTATGAGAGAGTGGCCCGGTGACCCGTCCTGGACCCAGTCCTGCGCTCCGGTCAGCCGCCAAAGCCTGTCAGGTGTTTAACGTCGCAATTTTCGATTAGTCGAAAGCAAGATAGTTGTTTTTCGTCCGGGAAAATTCACTGGCGGCTGGCGCGACTTATCAGTCCAGGGCGCGGGCCGATGGGCCGACGGGTTCACCGCGGCCACCCCGATCCGCAAAGGGGCCAGCAGTGGACCCATTTGTCCCCTGTCACGCACGGTATTTATTTGCATTCCATCCGAAGCGTTCATGTTGTGTGTGCCAATTGCGCCTGGCGGTCGGCCCGGCAATCTGTGGTTCTTGATGCCGCCGCTGCGTGTCGCTGTCGGCGACACTTCCATTGCCATCCCGCGTGCACCCTGTTTGGAGCCGACTCGACAAATACAGGCGATCGGCGCGACTGTACCGACGCGTTTGCGGATGGTTCGTCGCGGGGGAAGGAAGACAGACAGAGGACTGTCTATATCAGGAGGAACTGTCTGTGTCAGACGGAGGAGCTGTCTGTATCACACGGAGGAGCTGCCTCGGAACGTACTCTTCATAACCTGGTTCTTCGTCTCGAATAATCATAAAACTAGGTCGGGAAGGTCTTAACAAACAATTCAGCAATGCTATTCCCCTTATATTGAAACTTAATGGACGACCAATGGACAAGACAATGCGATGGCGATACAACAGTGGGCCGGTGGCGCCTGGGCTCAGCCGGCGGCGGGGTCGGCAGCCGCCGAGCGCGCCAGTCGAAACGCCACGTCTTCGGGCGGTATTTTGGCCACCTTGCGCAGCTCGCGCGCCTGCGTCAGCGGACAGCGCATCTCCGCCCAGCTGAGCGGCACCATGAGCGCGCCGGCCTCGCTGTGCGCCAGCGCCACGCCCAGCTCGTTCTCCGCCGTCGAGAGCACGTACGAGAGCGCGTCGCCCAGCGACACCACCTTGGCCAGGATGACGTCGCCTGTCCACACATTCACCGCCGCGCACCCAGCCGGGACGTGAGCAAATAATCACACCAACGAGTGGAATAGGAAAAGTAGAAAAAGCAACTATAACATCTCGGTCACTAGAATAACTTACTGTGGGTAACTACACGAACAGATTTCTAAACTAACTAGGAGAGACTTCCGGTACCTTGGAATGACTCATTGAGATTATGCAGCAGATTTGCGAACTGGAACAAACCGAAACGAGACGAAGAAAGGAGCCAGGCGATATCCATAAACAGCTGCAGGATCTATTCCATTAATGCAGTTCGAAAGTAGGTATCAGCTGATTTTTAAAATGCACTAGAAAATATTTAAAATAAAAACTGTCTATATGAGCTCAAAGCTGCCTTCAAAGGACTCACCCGGTCGGAAACATTCGTACATCTTGACCTTGTCGCGTTCGGTGGCTCGAACGTCCTCTTTCTTCAACATGCCACGGAACTTGTGTTTTAACACTGTCTCGCCTATGCAGAGTATCTCACAGCGGAGGAAGCGCGGGTTCACATACGTGACCTATGGGCCAGAATTGGGACGGGTTCACATACGTAACCTATGGACCAGAATTGGGACGGGTTCACATCAGTGACCTATGGGCCCCGGCCAGACTTAACCTTCCAGGCGGTGGGGGGGGGGGGCATTTTTTGCCCCCCCCCCCCTTTAGTTTTTTCGATATATCTCGAGAACCGCTGCGCCAATCGTCACCAAACATTCAGTACCCTCCCGGGAGCAGCTAGCGCACATGGTGACCAAAAATTTTTCCAAAGGCTATGATAGGTTGGCCGCTAATGACGTCAGAGTGACGTCATTTTTGCCATTTTCGTCCCAAAAAAGGTTTCGCGGAAAGAGCTGTCAGGTCTACAGCTTTAGAGATACAGAAAAATATTTCAGACATAAAAGGTGTGGAATTAAAAGGGCTACAAAACTGCTATTTCGGTTTTTCGAATTTTTTGGATTTTGACCCCCAAATATCAAAAAAGATTTTTTGAATATAATAGCCAAAAAATCCAAAAAGTTTTTTGAATTTCGAAAAAACCGTAATATATGTGATAGCCCCTACCGCCTTCTATCTACATACCAAAGTTGAGATCGATACCTCTTTTTTTGGTCAAGTTATAGCGAAAAAACTGTTCAAAATTGATGACGTCAAATTTTCAAACTCAATTTTTAGCAATTCTAGACCTCGTAGCGCAAAACAAAGACCACCATTAGACTCCCCGTGACGAGCTGCATCGAATCGATACCCATTTTATGCAAAAATATCAACTTTGAAATTTGACCTTTTTTGACCTGACCTTGACCTGACCTCCACCAGAAAGTGACCTAAACCGTACCTGATGGTCTTATAACCAACACCATTGAATTGGAAATGAAAAACTGGCCATAAAACATGCATCGCATAACCTTAGTAAAGTTGGGCTCATGTGGTGACCCTTGGTGACCTTTTGTGACCTGACCTGGTATGACCAGTGACCTCTAATAGCAGCATATGTACTAGACAACTGACGCCTTATCGCTGATTTTCGACAAAATGCGTTTTACTCGGTGTTATAGCGCTTTCCCTAGAAGCCCCGTGAACGGTGAAACATTTTATCTTTGACCTGACCTGTGACGTCATCGGTGACCCCGAGGTCAATGAAATTTGGTTTCCCTCGACAAATTTGACAGGGCTATCGAACGCCGTTTGAATTTTCCGGATCCGTCCAGTAGTTTCGGAGATACAGGGGGGGGGACAAAAAAGTGCCCCCCCCCCCACCGCGCGGAAGGTGGCTGGTAGGCCCACCGCCTGCCGGGTTAAGACGGGTTCACATAGTTACGTGACCTATGGGCCAGAGTTATGACGGGTTCAAATAAGTGGCCTACGGACCAGCTTCATAAGGGGGGGGGGGTCAAATACGAACCCGAATGAGCAAAATTACGGCGGGCTCATTAACGACGTGACCTGCGGCCTAGAATAGTGCATCTTTCCCTAGCCTCCCTGAGTGGACGGGCCACACTATCTGAGGCTTGGGCACCGGGCGGGCTCCCGCCCCTGTGAGATTACCACGGGTGTCCCTGACAGGGCGAGCGTAGCGCTCGACTGACCTTAGCGGTGACGACGCTGCCCGCCGTGGGCACAATGTTCTGCTCCTGGCCAGTGCGCACCTCCACCAGCTCCGTCTGACGGCGCAGGGCAGGGGTTAGAAGTCTGGGGTCAGGGACGGGGTTAGAAGTGGGGGTCAGGGACAGAGTTAGAAGTGGGGGTCAGGGACAGGGTTAGAAGTGGGGGTCAGAGAGCAGGGGCCGGAGCTCCAGGGTCACGGTTATAGGTCAGGGATCCGAAGTCAGGGTAGCGGTCGGACGACATAGGTCAGCGGTCAGGGTTAAGGGTCAGAAGGCAGAGATAGGGATTTGAGATTAGAGGTAGGGGTCAGGTCAGGAGTGGTCAGGAAGCAGGGGTGTAGGTCAGGGGTATAGGAGCAGGGGTCAGGGGCTAGAGCTCCAAGGTGACGGTTTTAAGTTAGGGGTTTAGAAGTCAAGTGTCCAGACATTCAGTAGGTCATTGACTTTATTCACCGCTGGCCAAAATATTTTGTCCAAATAAATCACGGATCGAACGACCGAGACGAACACGGATCGAAAGCGCAAGGGTCGAAAGTGTCGAAACAGAGCTCTGATTACGGAACGGCGCCGCGCACTTACCTTGTCCTCCTGCTGTTGTGTGTATACACGCCCCACCAGACAGGAGTAGATGTAGCCGGACCGCTCGATTGTGCCCTTGCCCGCGACATGTTTGTCGTCAGCGGCACACAAACAGTCGCCTGAGGATCGGTCCAGAGCGGCAGTCAGCAACACACCGGGACAACCATAGGCAGGAGCGGCAGCTGCAGAGGCTTACAGCACGCATTGCGCTTACGATACTCTTGGTGGCACGCGGCCAAAGTGCATTAAGTTATACACATCTCGGGTGAACCCTGGTCCATAAATCAGTCCTCCTAACATAACCGGGGCTCAAAGTGCCCCACTAGCCCTGGAAGTTGAGCTACCTCGTTCGTTAGGTAGGTTTCACACAGCGTATCAAGGGCCGGTAGGGTTAGGTCGGCCGCTACCCGGTCAGTCTGAGTTACGCAGAGTCACGTACCGGGCACGACGCAGATGGCCTCCCCGGGGGAGCCCGCTGAGCTGCCCTGCGACATCGTCACCTGACAATAAACAGGAGCAGCGTAACCACGAAGAGACCACAAACAGAACAGTGTAGCCACGAACAGACAAGAAACAGGAAAGCATAGTCACGAGCAGACACCAAACAGAAAAGCATAGTCACAAACGGACCGCAAACAGGACAGTGTGTCACGAACAGACAATAACAGGACACTGTAGTCACGAACAGACCGCAAACAGGACAGTGTAGTCACGAACAGACCGCAAACAGGATAGTGTAGTCACGAGCAGACCGCAAACAGGACAGTGTAGTCACGAACAGACAATAACAGGACAGTGTAGTCACGAACAGACCGCAAACAGTGTAGTCACGAGCAGACAACAAACAGGAACACATAGTCACGAAGAGACCGCAAACAGGACAGTATCGTCACGAACAGACCGCAAACAGACAGTGTAGTCACGAACAGACAATAACAGGACAGTGTAGTCACGAACAGACCGCAAACAGGACAGTGTAGTCACGAACAGACAATAACAGGACAGTGCAGTCATGAGCAGACCGCAAACAGGACAGTGTAGTCACGAACAGACAATAACAGGACAGTGTAGTCACGAGCAGACAACAAACAGGAACACATAGTCACGAAGAGACCGCAAACAGGACAGTGTCGTCACGAACAGACCGCAAACAGGACAGTGTAGTCACGAACAGACAATAACAGGACAGTGTAGTCACGAACAGACCGCAAACAGGACAGTGTAGTCACAAACAGACAATAAGAGGACAGTGTAGTCACGAACAGACCGCAAACAGGACCGTGTAGTCACGAACAGACAATAACAGGACAGTGCAGTCATGAGCAGACCGCAAACATGACAGTGTAGTCACGAACAGACAATAACAGGACAGTGTAGTCACGAACAGACCGCAAACAGGACAGTGTAGTCACGAACAGACAATAACAGGGCAGTGTAGTCACGAACAGACAATAACAGGACGGTGTAGTCAAGAACAGACCACAAACAGGACAGTGTAGTCACGAACAGACCACAAACAGGACAGTGTAGTCACGAACAGACAATAACAGGACAGTGTAGTCACGAAGAGACCGCAAACAGGACAGTGTCGTCAGGAACAGACCGCAAACAGGACAGTGTCGTCAGGAACCGACAAAAACAGGGCAGTGTAGTCACGAACAGACCGCAAACAGGACAGTGTAGTCACGAACAGACAATAACAGGACAGTGCAGTCATGAGCAGACCGCAAACATGACAGTGTAGTCACGAACAGACAATAACAGGACAGTGTAGTCACGAACAGACCGCAAACAGGACAGTGTCGTCAGGAACGGACCGCAAGCAGAACAGTGTAGTCACGAACAGACAATAACAGGACAGTGTAGTCAAGAACAGACCACAAACAGGACAGTGTAGTCACGAACAGACCAAAAACAGGACAGTGTAGTCACGAACAGACAATAACAGGACAGTGTAGTCACGAGCAGACAACAAACAGGAACACATAGTCACGAACAGACCGCAAACAGGACAGTGTCGTCAGGAACAGACCGCAAACAGGACAGTGTCGTCAGGAACAGACCGCAAACAGGACAGTGTAGTCACGAACAGACAATAACAGGACAGTGTAGTCACGAGCAGACAGCAAACAGGAACACATAGTCACGAACAGACCGCAAACAGGACAGTGTCGTCAGGAACAGACCGCAAACAGGACAGTGTCGTCAGGAACCGACAAAAACAGGGCAGCGACGCGTCAGGGACAGGCCACAAATAGGACAGCGACGAAAAACAGGATGGCGACGTCAGGGATAGGTCACAAGCAAGAAAGTGCGGTCAGCGACAAACAATACAGACCAACAGAACTACAAACTGATGCATATTCTGCAGTCTATTATCTACGCACACGACTGAGCGAGACCGAACTGACCGAATTGGTCTCCGGCGAGCAGGCCGATTGCGGAGGCCACCAATCGAATCATGTCGGGGATAGTCGACAGGGTAAGGCGTGGACAGAAGTCAAAGTCAAGGTCAATGACCTGGAATATTTTTAACGTAGATTGTAGAACATTCTCAATTATATCGTAATATTTGTCGTTCTAACTTTGACGTTTTATTGAACGATGAGTTTAGAATAAATTCTTGTAAAAGAGGCGTCGTTCCTTCTTTCTCCCCCATTCACGCATAAAAGAGGTCGAAAAAAGACCCAAGGTCATAGGCGGCGGAACGGGGAGGGCAACGGGGCACCGTGTCCCCCCTTTAATTTGGTATTTTAACATTAGCCCTATGGGCGTTGCATGGAAGGAATGAGACCAAAAGTCGGCAGTGCCCCCCCCCCCCCTTAATTGAGGGTGTTCCGCCGCTACTGCCCAAGGTCACCGATATCAAACACAAGACATACATTTCACTATAGATAACATGAACCGACCGGATTGGACAGCCATTTAAATAAGAAGCCACTTTTTTAGCACGCATTCACTTGGCTTATCTATGGACACCGAATTGAGGTGTTGCTGTGTCATCGGCGTTACACCCTTTTCAACCGAATTCGACGTTGAAAAAGAAAATGTTGCCTCCAACGCTGTCCAAAAACATTTCCAATTCATCGTTTCACATAAGCATACCTCATTCAAAACATTTTATTGGGTAGGTAACAATTTTATTATGTAGGAGGGCCTGAGGATAAATCAAATGAAAACTGTTTTAGTACAAACTGATACATTGTTGGTGACAAATAACCCATAAGGCGGCTGGCTACTGAGCGTAGACAATGCGCATGGTATTGGTGTATCCTGCGCCCGACTGCCAGCCGGTGATAATGAGCACCGGGTCGCCCTTGGCAACAAAGCCCCTGTCCTTGCCGAACTTCATGGCGTACTGGACACGCAGCTCGACGTCCTGGAGCCAGTCGCTCTGGCGCGCGGCAGTGTGCAGCAGCGGGAAGATGCTGCGGTACAGCTGGCACTGGCGCGCCACCATGGCGTGCCGGGTCACGCAGATGATGGGGCAGTGCGGCCGGTACCGGCTGAGCAGGTGCGCCGACCGGCCGCTGGTCGTCAGCACGATGATGGCCGACGCCTTCACCTTGAACGACGCCTCCACAGACGCGATGGCCACCGAGTGCGCGTGGTCCGCCTTGCTAATCTGCGATGTCAGGTCCAGGAAGGTGCTCTTGTGCCAAATTGCAGCCTCCGCCTCCTTGCATATCTTGGCCATGATGGAAACGCACTGCACGGGGTAGAGGCCCTTGGCACTCTCTCCCGAGAGCATGACACAGTCAGCGCCATCCAGGACAGCGTTGGCCACATCAGAGACCTCTGCTCGGGTAGGTCTGGGCTTTTCGATCATCGAGTCCAACATCTGAGTGGCACAAATCACCGGTTTGCCGGCGATATTACAGCGTGCAATCATACCTTTTTGTGCAATAAATACCTTCTCCGGAGGAATTTCGATGCCCATGTCTCCACGGGCTACCATGATGCCATCTGCGGCGTCAATGATTGAGTCCATGTTCTTTATACCTTGGTGGTTTTCCAGCTTGGGAATGATCATTATGTGTTTTCCTTTGTCTCCGAGAATTTTCCGGATGGTATGAACACCCTCGGCATCACGAATGAATGACGCGAACACAAAATCAACTCCGACATCCAATCCCAATTCAAGATCTCCTTTGTCTTTCTCGGATACCGCAGGCAGGTCCACGGGGGTTCCTGGCAGGTTGACTCCTTTCTTAGAGCCAACCTTTCCGCCGTTCTCGATGACACATTTGATTTTGTTACCGCTAACTTCCTCCGCTTGCAGAGAAATCAATCCATCGTCCACAAATATCCGGCTTCCGGCTTTGATAACCTTTGTAATGTTGTCGTAGTCGACGTATAGCGTATCCTTGCTGCACTTCTCCGCAAATGCTTTATCAGTGGTGACCGTGATTTTTTCACCAGTTACTAATACTGCCTCTCCAGTTCCACTTCCATCAATCAAACCAGTGCGAATCTCAGGACCTTTCGTGTCCAATGCAATGCCAAGCGAGAAAGGAAATCCTCTTTTCTCACCATAGACTTCAGCCGCTTTTCTTACATTATCCACAGTCTCTTTGTGATATTCATGCGTGCCGTGCGAAAAATTCAACCTCACCACTGTCATGCCGGCCTCCATCAACTGAACCAACGTTTCTACAGATCGTGAGGCAGGGCCAATCGTGCACACGATGCCTGACATCCGCAGTGATGCTGGGACTGAGTCAATGTCTAATGCAGCCATATGTTCGAGGAACGTAGTCGCCCGGGCAGCATTTCCTTGCTCGTTCAGAACTTCGGCCATTTTGTAAAAATTTTGTTTGTTGCCCCCACAAGGAAAACAGCCAAATGCCATAAATCAAAACGAAACCAAATAAACCAGAATTTTGACGAACCTTAAACCATATAATTTTCAAAAGTATCAGACTGCGCAGGTAGTTAGAAGAAAAAACAGTTGCATTATTGTTGCACTAGCCACGCGCCAAACATTTCACGGTACTTACGAGCCATGGGCTCAATTTTAAGTTTTAATGACCTTTTACTCGTAAATAAGATTTGAAGACCAAACAACATGTATTTATTTCCGGTCGGAAGACTCCCACAAAATAATAGCCGAACAGCGAGTCAACGGAATCAAATGACAAGTTTAGTTTTGACGGTATAAACAAGTGTTCCTTTGGGACTCAAGAAGCCTAACGTCATGAATAGCCCTCCTGAACAGGTTACATCTTAAAAATATACTTTTACCTGCTTTTACCCCATTTTACCCTCATGTCAGTGGAAGTGGCCCGCAACAACACCGCAAAACATCTTCTATTGGCATCAAAGAAACGTAAAACTTCCATAGCGAAATTTTACGTTTACCTACACCTCTGTACAATGGTGATGCGATAGTAAGATATAGATACAGATAAGTGTGTAGATTAATGAGCAGACTACAGAGGTCTATACCACATTTACATTACGTATGTGTATCGTGGTGGCTGCTGTGGTCACTCCCCGC